TTTGGTCTTGGCCATAGTGGAGTTTGGAGTGTGACTGTTTGAGGTTGTGGACAGGTGTCTTTTATACTGATAAGTTCAAACAGGTGCCATTAATACAGGTAACGAGTGGAGGACAGAGGAGCCTCTTAAAGAAGAATTTACAGGTCTGTGAGAGCCAGAAATCTTGCTTGTTTGTAGGTGACCAAATACTTATTTTCCACCATAATTAGCAAATAAATTCATTAAAAATCCTACAATGTGATTTTCTGGATTTTTTTTCTTCTCAATTTGTCTGTCATAGTTGACGTGTACCTATGATGAAAATTACAGGCCTCTCTCATCTTTTTAAGTGGGAGAACTTGCACAATTGGTGGCTGACTAAATACTTTTCCCCCCCACTGTATGTATTTATTCTTAAATTCCATTCCTTACTAGTTTTGTGAGTATTGGATATATGTTGTGAAATTGTTTGATATAACTGCACTGTTGGAGCTAGAAGCACAAGCATTTCGCTACACCCACTATAACATCTGCTAAACACATGTATGTGACAAATAACCTTTGATTTGATTTGATTTGAATTCCTTTGACCTCATGGCTTGGTTTTTGCTCTTACAGTGAGGGAAAAAAGTATTTGATCCCCTGCTGATTTTGTACGTTTGCCCACTGACAAAGAAATGATCAGTCTATAATTTTAATGGTAGGTTTATTTGAACAGTGAGAGACAGAATAACAACAACAAAAATTGCATTTTAATGAGGGAAATAAGTATTTGACCCCCTCTCAATCAGAAAGATTTCTGGCTCCCAGGTGTCTTTTATACAGGTAACGAGCTGAGATTAGGAGCACACTCTTAAAGGGAGTGCTCCTAATCTCAGCTTGTTACCTGTATAAAAGACACCTTTCCACAGAAGCAATCAATCAATCAGATTCCAAACTCTCCACCATGGCCAAGACCAAAGAGCTCTCCAAGGATGTCAGGGACAAGACTGTAGACCTACACAAGGCTGGAATGGGCTACAAGACCATCGCCAAGCAGCTTGGTGAGAAGGTGACAACAGTTGGTGCGATTATTTGCAAATGGAAGAAACACAAAATAACTGTCAATCTCCCTCGGCCTGGGGCTCCATGCAAGATCTCACCTTGTGGAGTTGCAATGATCATGAGAACGGTGAGGAATCAGCCCAGAACTACACGGGAGGATCTTCTCAATGATCTCAAGGCAGCTGGGACCATAGTCACCAAGAAAACAATTGGTAACACACTACGCCGTGAAGGACTGAAATCCTGCAGCGCCCGCAAGGTCCCCCTGCTCAAGAAAGCACATATACAGGGCCGTCTGAAGTTTGCCAATGAACATCTGAATGATTCAGAGGAGAACTGGGTGAAAGTGTTGTGGTCAGATGAGACCAAAATCGAGCTCTTTGGCATCAACTCAACTCGCCGTGTTTGGAGGAGGAGGAATGCTGCCTATGACCCCAAGAACACCATCCCCACCGTCAAACATGGAGGTGGAAACATTATGCTTTGGGGGTGTTTTTCTGCTAAGGGGACAGGACAACTTCACAGCATCAAAGGGACGATGGACGGGGCCATGTACCGTCAAATCTTGGGTGAGAACCTCCTTCCCTCAGCCAGGGCATTGAAAATGGGTCGTGGATGGGTATTCCAGCATGACAATGACCCAAAACACACGGCCAAGGCAACAAAGGAGTGGCTCAAGAAGAAGCACATTAAGGTCCTGGAGTGGCCTAGCCAGTCTCCAGACCTTAATCCCATAGAAAATCTGTGGAGGGAGCTGAAGGTTTGAGTTGCCAAACATCAGCCTCAAAACCTTAATGACTTGGAGAAGATCTGCAAAGAGGAGTGGGACAAAATCCCTCCTGAGATGTGTGCAAACCTGGTGGCCAACTACAAGAAACGTCTGACCTCTGTGATTGCCAACAAGGATTTTGCCACCAAGTACTAAGTCATTTTTTGCAGAGGGGTCAAATATTTATTTCCCTCATTAAAATGCAAATCAATTCATAACATTTTTGACATGCGTTTTTCTGGATTTTTTTGTTGTTATTCTGTCTCTCACTGTTCAAATAAACCTACCATTAAAATTATAGACTGATCATGTCTTTGTCAGTGGGCAAACGTACAAAATCAGCAGGGGATCAAATACTTTTTTCCCTCACTGTACATGCACTGTCAACTGTGGGACCTTATATAGACAGGTGTGTGCCTTTCCAAATCATGTCCAATCAATTGAATTTACCACAGGTGGACTCCAATCAAGTTGTAGAAACATCTCAAGGATGATCAATGGAAAAAGGATGCACCTGAGCTCAATTTCAAGTATTTTTCGTACGCTTCCCCAGATCTGTGCCTCGACACAATCCTGTCTCGGAGTTCTATGGACAATTCCTTAGACCTCATGGCTTGGTTTTTGCTCTGACATGCACTGTCATCTGTGGGACCTTATATAGACAGGTGTGTGCCTTTCCAAATCATGTCCAATCAATTAAAATTACCACAGGTGGACTCCAATCTAGTTGTAGAAACGTCTCAAGGATGATCAATGGAAACAGGATGCACCTGAGCTCAATTTCGAATCTCATAGCAAAGGGTCTCAATACTTATGTAAATAAGGTGTTTCTGTTTAATTTTTTTAATACATTTGCAAAAAATTCTAAAAACCTGTTTTCACTTTGTAATTATGGGGTATTGTGTGTAGATTGATGAGGAAAAACATGAATTTAATCAATTTGAGAATAAGGCTGTAATGTAACAAAATGTGGAAAAAGGGAAGGGGTCTGAATACTTTCCGAAAGCACTGCTGTATTAGAAGCAATTATTGGTACCATGATTGTCTTTGGAAAAAAAAGTTTTTACAGGAATTTTGACCACGAAGATTGCCTTTTTTCCATTCACTAATGGGGGATCCTGTTTTCTGCTAACAATGCCTGCGGTACTGCGGTCAGCCGTGAATTTCAATGAGAGGGGGAAGTCATTCGGGAGCAAGGGGCCAGGGTTCCGGTCTAGAAGCACGGTTTCGACTGCTCCTATAGTTTTGCTTCGGTACCGCAGCTGAACTGATGTCCAGTCCAGAAAGACAATTTCCACATAGAAAAGTTAGATTAAAAAAATATACAACTGTCCTGTATAGGCTACCTGTACCTGCATGACATGAGCCGTCCTCACACTCTCTCCCAGCTTGGATAAAAAGTTATTGTGCGTCTATTAATGCCAAATAATACAGTCAGTTCAACCTCAAAACACTATCTTACTAGGGATTATGCAGTGTACCATCTATAGCTATATACCGTATTTAGCAGCTATTTAGCTGCTATTTATAAACTTTTTATAAAAATGACACATCAAATAGCCTAACCATTAGAAAAAAAGTAGTTGGCTTGAGGATAAATTCAGCCACTATTTATTGTTACATTTACATTTACATTTGTTGAACATTTGTTGAACATTTACATTTGTTGAACTCTGTGGGTTTTGTCTGGCCTACACAAATGGGCTGCAGTATTCTAAGTAAATTCAATTAAATCAAATTAAATCAAACTTGAGGGACTCACCTGGTCTTCTGAAGTCTTCCTTTTTTGTGTGCAAATGTTTTCACCACAACCTTTAGGTCCAGGTTGCTGGCCAGACTATTTCTATACTGAGTATTGCCAACCCAGACTTCCTGAGAAATTGTGCATTATATGTCCATTGCGCTGCACACAATTTAAACTTAGTCTTGAATTATGCATGCCAAGATATACAAGAGATAAGGGACTGTTGATATTGCAACCACACAACTCAAACGCCGGTTCACTAGTATGAACGAAATCGCAAAACAATTTTTTTTGTTCAAGCCCTCAAGAACTGTTGTCCACTAAAGATGATAATCTGTTTGCATCTGCCAATGTATTGGCTGCCAGTATCCAGACGACCTGTCCCCAGAGCTTCCTACACAGTTACTATCTTTCCGTAACATGTTAAGTCCGGCAACTAAGGAGAATGAGAGGGTCAATTAAAGATGTTGCAGAACTGCTGTATTTGAAGCACCACTCCCTTTTGCCCAGTTTCCCTGATGTTGCTACGGCAATCAAGCTGTTTTTAACATCCCTGTAACTGTCGCATCTGCGGAAAGATCGTTTTCTAAACTAAAACTCATAAAGAACTACCTAAGAAGCATTAGGCTCTCGGTCTGAAATGCGCTTTTGTGCATGTGATGTTGGTCTGTATAAACCGGATGAACCCGGATATCGACAGTCCATGAATCGGCGTATACGAATGTGAGTAGATTACCTTGAAAACAACGGTCGGACATCTTGGACAAAGTCTCCAGTTCTTATTATATTTCAGTGGTAGGGAGCTATCAGCCAATGGTCAGAGCATTGTCTTCTTCAAATTTGGATGCCTATGGTTTGTAAATGGTTTTTAGCTATATCACCACCACCTAGTGGCCACAATAAATGAATGACACGCAGGATTTGGTTCAGGACAACAGCACTGCAGGTGGCAGCGGTAAATCATCGTGGAGATAGGCTCAATGGCGCTGCACATGCTGTCACACATGCCATAATAGCACAGATACAAAGATGAGTCCTCTATCTATCTCTATGGTCTCAGCAGGTCTCAATTGTGTGTGAAGACCACTTGTGGCAGTTCAGATTTGCTTGAATTCAATATAATCTCGCATAGGCTATTCTTCTGAACTATATCATATTTTCAGTTGTTCAACCTGTATATGTATGTATTTACAATACCTTTGTTTGCAATGATGGTGAGGAACCACCAAAAATAGCAGACTTTGATACTTTTTAGACATACTGCTGACGTTTACAGAGGCGTTGATTGGACAGTAGACTGTGGGACGATCTCAATTATATTCTCCTCGCGTCCTCTCTCCTCGTCTCATTCTCAAAACCCATTGGATGAGAAAGCCAGAGGTCCCGCCCCTCTCATCTTCTCCAACAATGGGTTTTGAGAAGGAGACGAGGAGAAAGGACGCAATTGAGATGTTCCCTGTTTCACTTGCCCAGTGAGCTACTGTGCACACTGGTAGAAGGACTCGGATATTCTATAACACTTCAATGGAGGAACAGCCCAAAGATCGGGCACAAGATAGACGATATCACCACCATGGAGAAGAAAGAAACCCTATTCAATACAAATCATCTGTAAAAAATGATCAGATCTACTTCCAGTACCAGGAAACGCAGACGAAGAAAACAGGTTGGGCCATCCGGAAAAGTTAGCCAGCTAATATAAATTACTTAACTAGCTAGATAGCCAGTTTATTACCGACGTCAATGTAGCTTGCTAGCTCGCGAGACAGTCATAGCAGGATGGTAGCGAGCTGGTAAAGAACCATTGAACTTATTAGTTAGCTGGGACTAGAGTTGAGTATGGCTAGTTAGGGATAGTTAAACGTCGCGTGACAGCTGTCGCTGGTGGTTTGACAGATAGGGGATTGACCTTGTGCGGCGGTTTCACCACACAGTTCTACATTTATGGAACTCGCAATTCTCCTGTGTGACTAATTAGTAATTTTGTAGTTAAATTATTTTGTCACGTGAATACATTGAGTTTACCCCCAAAAAGTAATCGCTAATTTGGTGTGAATTCCGTGAAATATGTTGTTAACAAAAACAAGCCGGCTCCACTGGAATGTTCTGAGTTGCCATTTCCTGTCGGCCATGTTAGAAAATACAACCTGGAAAGCTAACGAGCTAGCTAACTAATCCTAGTAACGAGAGAGAGATTTGGGCATAAAACAAGTTTCAATGTTATTTTGTTTACTAATTACCACTTGGCTGCAGACAGTGCTGCAAAAGCAAGATGACTAGTTACCTAACTTAATTTTGAGACTTTCCAGGGATTAAATAACTACTGGAGCTAGTGCCAGACATTTTACACTTACAAACAGCTGCGGCTCAGTCGGGCCTGTTGCGTCTATCTAGCTAGCCATGAAGCCGCGCAAACATGTTAGCCTGGGTAGATGACCTGAGGAGTGTTAACACAGTTAGAATTGTCTTTCTAGTTAGCTGATAAACAATTCTGAACCAAATGTAATTGTAGCATCACCAGTTTCTTTAGACTAGTTTACAATTGATGGCATGCATGAAAACTAAATTGTGCATACCTTGAACCATTGCTTCAGTTCAGACAAGAAAATAAAACACCTAACACAATTTGTGTTATTCTATAACATTACTTAAGATGTTATTTGTTCGCCCATATTGTGTACAGGTATCTTAGGAGCAAGATGGCAAAACATTCATTTAGTTGAACATTTTCTTTAGATGCTAGTGGGGCAAGTATTGTTGAATTAGCTAGCAAAGTCAGGCTCAGTCACACTGTCAACCACCTTCCAGTTACCAAAAGTTATAGGACTATATGTAATAGCCATTTCTACATACAGCACACGTTTTTCTGAAGTGATTTATGTATGGTATCTGTTAACAAGTAGGCTAGTGGACTACTATGTTCAAGGGAATCTGATATGGGCACTGGCGTGGTTGCTTGCTACCAGCTGACCTATTCAGTCTAAATTGTCATGATACAGCATAATCTTATAAAGGCCTCACAATGTTTCCTGCAAAAGGAGCTTCGAGGTTGCATAGGTCTTGTAAACAGATTAGGTCTGTTAGTCCCTTTTGATATAGAGAGTGAGGTGGTAGGGAATTATGGAATTTGCTTGGACTTTATATATATGTGTGTGTGTCTGCACACATGATATTGTATCACTGGCAGTGCAACTAACTTTCTTTTTGTTTCCTTTTACAGGCAATGGGAAAATAAACACCAGTGACGTGGAGGGGGAGAAGATACTGTCTGCAAATGATTTTTTTTGTGTCCCTCGTCCCACCAACAGCAATGGTAACAGACATTTGATAAATACTAATGTAAAACAGAAGTCAACACGAAAGGTTTATAGCACTCTTTCAAAAGTGGCCAGCAAAGAGTGTCTTGATCACAAGAAGAATATGGACAGCAAAAATGACAAGGACAAGGCCTTGGATTTCACTAATGACTATGAGGGAAAGCTGTTGGACAAGGAGGAGTCTGCGTTGCTTCTGAATGGAGTGGTAAACTCTGCTCATATTACCAATGGTTACTCCAGCAAGTCACCCCCTGACAACGATGGCAGTGGCTCAGAAAGTGGATATACTACTCCTAAGAAACGCAAGGCCAGGCGCAACAGCATCAAGAACACAGAGCATTTGACAAGCGAAAAGGAGAGAGCCATGCAGCAGGGTAATGCTACACAGGAGCCAGATTCTTCTGGACTTGAACCAATGGAGAAAGTGGTGAGCTCGAGACTTGTCCATAAAGCAGATGCCCAGACAGCAGTCAGGCAGATGGGTGCGCCAGAAGTGTCTGTGGGCGAGTTGCAGAGGAAAAACTCAGACAGTAAAACTGCTGCAGTTGCCTTTGGTAAAAAGTTTGAGGATAGGCCCAAAGCCAAGCTTTCCTCCTCTACAAAAGAGGACTCTTGGACTTTATTCAAGCCCCCTCCAGTATTTCCTGTGGACAACAGTAGTGCTAAAATAGTGCCCAAGATCAGTTATGCAAGTAAAGTTAAGGAGAACCTCAACAAAGCAGCCCAAGCTGGAGGAGAGGTACAGCCTCCTCAGGTGCCTGGTAGATTGTCACAGGTCCCCATGTCTGCTATGAAAACCATCACCTCAGCTAGCTTTACTAATGGTCTCGTTTCTGGAGATGGAAATGGTTGCCCCTCTGTCGGTACCTTCTTCACTCCTGCTGCTAGTAGTATTCCACCAGCCCCCTCTCTCCCATGCGGGGAGAACGTAGCAGCCTTTTTGGACAATGACTGTAGCTCTTCAACTAACCTCGCTGCAGATCTGAGAAAGTGTACTCTTTTCATTTACCCCCTAAACCCTTTAAATATGCAACCTGTGCTCCCGAGTGCTCGCCAAGTGGACACCCCGGCCGCTCAGACAAATCAGAAAGCCTTGGGGGACATCTTCCAGAATCAGTGGGGACTGTCCTTCATTAATGAGCCAAACGTGGGGCCAGAAGGAGGAAGCGGGCCGGTGGCTGCTGTGGAGGGCAAGGCTGCGGTGGTCACCTTTCAAGGGGAGCCATGCCCTGCTGTTGCAGCTGAGCCAGGCCTTGACGCTAGCCTATCAATCCCAGAGCCTTTGCCTCTCACTTTGGCTCAAGACTCAGAGAAAAGGACTAGTGCCCCAGCTTGCCCCCCTGCTACAATGAAGGGTGAGGATGGGACAAAGGCTCAGCTGTCTGGACAGGAAGAGACGAAGTGCGAGGCGAAGAGTTCAGGTGCAGTTGTGTTGGCCTCTGATAAAGACATTAGTGCTGAGCCTGCACAGGCCCCCCTGGCCAACCTGGTGTTGGGCCAGTCTAAAGAGCAGGCCCACTCTAAGAGGCTGGACAGAGGTAGCTCGGGGTCGTTTGATCTGAAAGCTGCTGTTACTTATCACACTAAAGGTAACTCCTCTTCCTCTGCTGTGTCATTTCTATAAATGCATAAAACATTGTATTACCAGTGCTTGACTTGGGATGAAAGACGTGCAGGAGGTGTCTTTTTTTCAAGTTGGTCCATTAGACAATGTTCACTGAAATTCACAAATGACATTATGCTATAGATTGACCTCTGATTATTCCATTGTTAAGGGTTCATACACATTTTGACTGATGGAATTTCATGACTTTTCCATAACTTCGAACCACATTTCCGTGACCAATAATTAGTGGTGTCTCCTACATGAAAAAGTCTGAATAAATGTGGTATTGACACTAGAAGGCTGCTGGTCTCAGTTTCCTACATTGGATCAATCTCATTTACATTTACATTTTAGTCATTTAGCAGACGCTCTTATCCAGAGCGACTTACAGTTAGTGAGTGCATACATTTTTCATACTGGCCCCCCGTGGAAATCGAACCCACAACCCTGGCGTTGCAAGCGCCATGCTCTACCAACTGAGCTACAGGAGGCCCCAATCTCCTGCTGTTGTGCCTTTTTTTTATCAACGCGCTTAGAATAACTGCACTGTTAGGCTATTGTATAAAACATGTGGTCAACCCTCCATTTGGAGAGCTACTGGGTGTGCAGCCTTTTGATACATCCCTGAAACACACACGAGTCTGCTTATCAAGGTCCTGTTGAGCAGCTGATGTTTAGGCTACAATGTGGTGTTTTAGAGTGGGGTTTGAACAAAAGCCTGCACACCCAGTAGCTCTCCTATAGGATGCTTGGCCACCCTTGATATAGACTATTACAACCAAATACTTTTGTCTTTACACAATTATTCCATCATTCAATGAATTAGAAATAACATTGATAAGTTCTGCTACTTCAAAGCAAGGTAGCGAACTAAGATATGTTTATCTAACCTTATAAGGTTCAAATATCTATGCACAGCATGGAAGCTGTTTGTCAATTAGGCTATTCTTAGAATATTTTTAACGTTGTCGGAATTACATGGCTAGCCTACTGTTTAATATAGGGGTATCCCAGATTTCCAATAATGGTGTCAGATTTATATCTCACCAGTGCCGGTGGAAAGGCGTCAACGACATTAATGCTTATTGATAAATAGTTAACTAGCGAGATAGCTTGTAGTATGACTAGTTATTTTTTTATTAGGCTATATAGTTAGTCTATCATTATTTTATAGGCCCACTCGCACTGGCAGACACACAAATTATGCACAGCACACACAGAGACACGCTGAAAGGTAGGCATTCAGGCATGGTGCCTTCTCAATCTGCGCATTCTCAAACTCGAAGTCTACTGGCACGCATACACCAGATTCACAGACTAGCGGCAAATAAACTTGAACAAAGCGGAATCGGGATATGAATGCCCACTCTCCATTGCTATTCGATGCAGGTCCCGCCTTCATTCCGCTTTAATCAACCTTTTTTTGACACTGTGTGTGAATCCGGGCTGGCGATAGGCAACTTTGTTTTATGGAGGAGCCGGTACGCAGTTCCCAAAAAATTGGAGGTGCCAGTACAGCACTACAGACAGCTCCGGCCCAAGTCAAGCACTGGTTATTACACATGGGTAGCTTTAACCTACTATTTCACTTGCACCAAATGCTTTTAATCCTTTAGCATCACATAATTGTGTGTCTAATAATAAAATGTATTATGCACCTGGAGATATTAATCAATCTTTGTTTTTTCTCTACAGAAATGGAATATGTCTTCAATTTGCAAAAACAAGGTAAAGTAAAGGTCTCTTTTCTGTGTAGTGTGTTTTCAAAGTTGTGAAATTGGGTTTTCTATTTGATGATCAAAGGTGTACAGCTGAAGTTTGAATAACATACATTATGAATTGCTAAGTTCCCCAGGGCCTACACACTGAATAATTTATCTGTCCTTTCCTTCCCCCAGATCCAAAAAGAGTAGTCTTCTATGATAAGACCAAGGATGGACCTGATCAGTGAGGTAGTGAATGTCTGTCAACACTAACCTTCTCCCTACCTGGGTGCTGCAGTTCTCTTCATTGGCGGTTATAATCTCTTTGGAAAACAATATTGAGTCAACTGTGATATTGGGACTGACGGATGAGTGTCCTGTGACAGACTTTCATTGGAATACAGAATGGGATAATGGGGACTCCTTTTTTGCCGGGGGGGGGGGGGGGGGGGGGGGGCATTGCCGCAGAGGAAGACGAGAAGGGGAGGGGTAATGTGAGATCATATAAATCCAATTATTGGAATTAAGTTGAGCGCAGAAGCTTCTGCCGACGCTCTGGACTACACAAAGACTCAAACACTTGAAAGAGATGTTGGGTGCCTCAGTCTCCCATGTGAACGGACACTTGTGAAACGTTCTGCTGTGTTAGACATTGGTCTCATAGCTCCTTCCTCTGGGTGTTGAGAAATAAGATGGAGGAAGGCCCAAACTGCACCTCCCAAGCCTTTATCCTGTTGCCCATTGAACTATGGCGAGTATCAGTCTGACAGTAAGATGCCTCAATCGTTTTATTTCCGTTTTATTTGCATTCAAATTATTCCAATATATGTAGATCTGTGTGTTATGAGTTATGCATACACATCAGTATATGTGCAAATTTGAATTCATTTTGAAATAAAAATTAACTATAAACTCCGATAAGAATGCCTTGAAATTCACAAAATTGGAGAAGACGGAGTCCTGTTAGCAGGTTAAATGCTAAATATATTTGAGGGAAAGCATTTGTCTTAATTACTTTAGTGAAATAACTATGCCCTGCAAAGAACTGACTTCTGGGTATCTCTTGACACCTATTTTAGTTTTTCTTTGTTTTGTATGGTTTAGCGATTTCAAATGTGATCTACAGTAGGAACAAACTCCCAGAGCACAGATACAGAAATGTCCAGTTAGAATGAAACTAAAGCCAGGTCCTAATCTTGTGGTTCGGTTCTCACTTTTTGGTAGGCATGCTAATCAGTTGAAAAAACAGTTTCAGTATATAATTGTCTTGATCTGAGTTTTGCTTTTGTTTATTATTTTGACTCTTCTTAAGCCCTTGCAGTTGTCAGTCCACATATTTCATTAATTCATTTCAAATTAAGATTGATGTAGGCTATTCCTTAATTTGTAGGTTCTCTTGAGCTTGTGGGCGTTTTCTGGAAGATGAGAAGTGACTTATTGTGGCGGAAGGGCTATATATGTGATATTTCTTAAAATTCGTTTTTTTGTTTGGTGTATTTGATCAGTAAGAGGCTCAAGATGTTAGTAATTCATTAGGCCTACCTAGGCTATATTTGCTGATACTACATGGAGAAATGGCTCATTTTCTTGCTCAAGCAATTAGCTTTTCATTTGCTAACCAACCTATTCAGCCTAGGATACTTTGTGCTTTTTCAGCATTTGTTCTTTTAATCTCTCTCTAGTTATAATGACAATGTATTTCATGCACAAAGTATTGGTGGGTGTAGATGAGTGAGTGGATGAGACGGGAGAAGTCGCAGTTTAATATAGCCAAGCAAAGATGAGACACAGAACCATCGCAATACTAATAATTTCATGTCCCAGACCAGCCGGTCTTTGTTATACTGTGTGTAGAGATGTAGTGGTGATGACGTTTCATAATACAGTATCATCCAGTCAGTGTCTTTAATCAAAGTGTTTGTGTCAAGAGGCATAAACATGTCAAGGCAGGCCACATTTGGTAATACAATGAGTGGACAGCCACAATGTCATTGGTACTACCATCTCTCTCTCTGTTGTTTTTTTTTGTTTTGCGCTAAAGGAGGAAATGTCTTAGTTTATTTTCTCTAGCATAAGTGATTTGGTTATTGTGTGGATTAATAGCACTTTATGTAACTAATTGTTTAAAAATATATATTAATTACTACAGATATATATGAATGACATACTAACTTCTTTTAAGAATGGCTTTGGACTGTTGTTCTTTTAAAGACAAATCTATAAATACCGATATAAAAAAAAGTCACTCAGGTAGTATTGGTAAAGCCATGACAAAGTTGGAACAATTTCGTTTTCTGCCAAATGGTTCAGAACAAGATCCTCGTATTGTGCTCAAATATAAATTGCTAAAATATTGAATTGGAGTGATATTTAATAATAAACTACAGAGCTGTGATTTAAAATACCAAAACATTTTGCTTGCAGAAAACACTGACATGGCTTGCAAGCAGCTGTCATAGATGTTATGTAGGCTTCTAACCTTAAGTTCTCTGTTCAGGCAATTTCACTTTAATAAGCACATTGATTTGCACCGGTTTCCACCTGTTATAGGACAGTGTGATCTCTTACTGTCTTTGATTTTTTTACTTACTTTTCACCTCTTGTCATTCATGGGCTGAATAATTTCTGAGTGTACCCACTACTGAATGCCAGTCCAGGTTATATGCAATGGCAGGAATCTATGTCTGAGCTTCCTGGTCCAGCCCTCTGTTGGGTTTTCTGGTCACCTCCTGATTTGTTCTTGCAGACAGAGGGAACTATAAGAAGGTCAAACATACCCCTGCTGTGTACAAAACTGTGTCTCACACACACTTAAGTTACTTCACTGTGGAATTCTAAGCGAAGGATAGACCTCTGGGACGTGGTATTTAAAACATTTTGTTTTGTTTCCATTGTATGCAGTGTGTTTAAGTGTTATCAGATTAGGTCAACTTCAATCAAGAGAAAAATTATATCTTATTTGGCTAATGCTGCACAATGGCGAATAGATAACTTATTTTGTCTTGATCGGCAGTGGGAATTGTTTTTGTGTGATGGACAACCCAGTTTGCTATGGTGGACATTGACAGCTAAAACTGTTATGCGTTTTTGTGCTTTGATTGTTCATGCACAGTTGATGATGTAACTTTACTGGGTTCCCATAAATATTAGAGTAGAAAACACCAGATCATACCATGGGGTAAAAAAGCCTAAACAAGTTGTCTTTTTCATAACTCTAACCCCTTTTACTTTTGATCCTGAGTGATAGAACAAGAAGCCCTATGCTTCTTTGTAAAACAGGGTGGGCAGTCTTGAGTCGGTGTGTAAAAGTGCGCTAACAGTCCAAAGTACTTAATCGGTTCATTGTTTTGATTTAGACATGTCCCCTTTTCTTATGTTGAATTTGATTCTTAAAGGCCCTGTGCAGTCAAATGTAATTTTCCTGTGTTTTATATTTCCACACTGAGGTTGTAATAATATTGTGAAAATGATGATAATGACTGCCTGTGTTGGTGGGATAGAGTTTTGGCCTGCCTGGTGACATCACCATGCGGTAAATGAGTTAATAGACTAATAAGAAAGAGTTCCAAACCTCTCTGCCAATAACAGCTAGGCTAGTTTCAGTTTTCCCTTTGCCACTCCCAGACAGTCCTAGCAAAATTATTTATTGAGAAATTACTCTTTGCTAAGAAGCTATTTGTTTGTTTTTCTATTAAAACAGTCAAAAAGAATCACACTAAGGTACTTTAATTGTTACCAAGAAGTGATTTGATATTTAGATAACGGCTGCATTGGACCTTTTTAAGAGGAGGGATCATTGATCTCCAGGGAAATATTGCATAAGTCTCCCCCTTATATTTTCAAGCACTTAATTAAGCAAAATGGGTATTTTTTGTATATGCATTTATGAAAAACATATTACTTTAACAATAGTGTTGTAGCCTGTAAACCAAAATCTGGTTCTTAATGGAGGAGATGGTTTGAGGAGCACTCTGCTGGGGAAGTGAGCGAGTTGGTGTGCTTTGTGTGGTGAAAGAAAAGCATGAAAGTGATGAGTCTCTGTATTTTCATCCCTCTTAGGAGGTGCAATCACCTCAAGGATACTCACACAGGCCTCCGAGTTCTGAATGATTGGTTAGGCCACTTGGCCTAGCTGTTTGGTGTGCGCGTGAAAGTGAGTTCTTCCAATTTATATGCAAGTTTCTACTTTTTTTTCAAGACCCCTGCTGTATCATGTTCAGGTGCCTGTGTGAAAATAATGCTTATACAGTGATTTTAAGATTTTCTGTGTGTTTTGAAAATTGCTTCTAAAATGATTTGTGCCATTTTCTTTTTTTTTGTATTTCTTTCTACAACATTTTGCAATGCTGTTCAACATTTCTTACAGCTTCATTTGTTGCTTCCTTTCACTGACATGGAAGAATCTGAAAGCAATGTGCGTTTTAGCTGTTTTTAATGAATTTCACAGCTCTCAATCATATGACCTGCAAATAATTGTTCAGTGGGCTTGCATTTTAATGAACTGCTTACTGGTGGTATATTATAGTCAGTCCATCGTTAAGTTATGGTCTGAAGTAGAGCAACGTTGAGTTTTACTTTTGAATTGATCTAACGCATTAATGTATTAACTTTTTATGTGGATGTTTTAATAAGCTGTGTTTATTTTTGAATTGTCACTTAATTTATTTGTAGATGCACAACTAGAACGAAACTACTTTGCTTCAAAGGAAAATGGGGAGAATTAGGCTAAGATGTCTCATTTTTTATCATAACACGTACCTACTTTTTTAAAGACCATTTCGTTATTGAAGCTGAATTCACAATTTTATATAAAGCCCCAATGTTCATATCCTTGTGGCTGAAAACAATGTTAAGCCTACTCCTTGCTTAGTTTTGCTAATTTTCAGAGTACACATGATTTATGTTCAATGCATTTCCTCAAATAGTAATGGTGGCAATATGAGCACTGAAAGACCAAGTGTTCCTGATAAGAATGTGTCTCTGCTGTTCTTCATCACGTGTTAAAGGGGAGAGACGTAAAGGGGATTGATGTACTGTTTGACAACTCTCTTAGTTCACGTTCGCCAAAGGGTACAGTACACAACTCCGATATTCAGCTACTGTATGGTCCATGCACTTAGATTGGAAAGACTTTGTGATGGTTTAAGGCTAAGCCAGCTGTTGTCTGAGCCAGTCAGGTTTGGGTGGGACCACAGCAGCTGAATGCCACTGTGGGGGTCTGTGTTGGATTTGTTAGGACAAATCCCCCTAACATACCGAAAGTGCTGCTTCTTCCAGTTATCGATTGTCTGTAATGGGAAATGCTGGACTTAGTGTTTGTGCTCCATTTTCACCCT